ACCACCACTTCCAAAGAAGCGTTCCTTCAAAACTTTATGTTTTGAGAGTAATAAAACTTCAAAACTCTCTTTAAAAACAACTGCCTCACTTGGCAGTAGTCATTTTACACCCTTCTTGTTTACTTTTCCTCTTCACAAACTCTCCAATTAAGAAGTTAATAACAAGAAAGCTTTTTTAGGAAGAAGAAACCAGATGAAAAAGTACCATCCCTCCCTTACCTATAGAGGTTCCAGAGTTTAGGAAGAAGTTTGGGGCCAAGAACTCCATGCCAGTCAGTAGGTAGACATCAATACCACAGGCAAAAACAGCTTCTCTCTCAGCATGTAGCAGTTTTCTTAGTTTTTCTGGTGAATTTTGCCTACCTTAACTTGATCCTAAATTTTCTGTTATACAGATTCTGGATGGATTGATTGGCTGAAGTTTGGGACTGGTTGCTCCATGATTAACAGAAGTGTAAACAAGGATACATGTGATATAGGACGTGAATGTATTTTTTAAGCTTTATAAGAACCTTAGGTCTATTATAAGTCACTGGCTAATTGTACAAGTGGATAAACATCATATGAACTGTGATCTTCTCTCTCTTATCAACTCTGAAAGTGTCAAGGCTATGGATCGAATATCTTTTGAGGCAAAGTTGGATGGATGAGTAGTTGTTAGGTATCCCTTTATTCTTTCCCCTATTTCATTTTCTTGTAAATATTTTCAACCTTCCCTCTCCATTTTAATTTTTCTTTTAATACTGACTAGTCACAAGACTAGTACAAGAGACATCCAACATTGGATGGTGTTGGGACTCTTGTACAAGTTCTGGCATGTTAGGCTCCATAGTGGGTAGCAACAAGTTGATCAGTGGGTGCATTAGTGTATTCTAGATAATGTCAATTCTAGAATATGGAGATAGGTGAGCAATGCACAGCTTGTGTATCTCACTAGTCACCTGCTTTGTTTTTAAAAGAGAAGTATTTACACTAGGCAGTCATGTATTTTTCATATCCTGGTTAGGTTAGACATAGATTGAGTCATAAAAATAGATAGCTCCCTGTTCTATTTCTTCTATTGATCTGTAAATCCTTAGACAGTATGGGAAAGTATTCATCCTGATTGTTGCTAAATATGATTTTTTCTTAATAAAGCATTGGAAAAGGCGTGGAATGAGCCAGTTTTAAAATAAAATAAAAAGGTTTATTTTGTATGTTTTCTCTATATGCTCAGACTTTTAATAGTTCCATCTTTATATTTTTTTGCTTGCAGATTTCTTTGATTAGGTATTGAATATTTGAGTTTTTCTGTTTTTTGTAATATTATATAGTAATAAGCTTATTAGTTTTTCAAATACAGTTAATAGTTGCTATGCTATCTATGTATATTTGCACTCTACTATAATGAGAAAAGGTACAAATAGTTGTAAAGATGACCATTAGTTTGGCTCTGATTAAGGAGAGAAAGTTTTTGACTTGATCTTGAAAGTTGAACTATCTGTTATTATTGTTTGTTAGAGTCCATCCTACTTTCATATAATATTGTCTGTTGTGCCAGCTCATGGAACCATCAGTATAGACTTCAAAATATATATAGTTTTGAGTTCTTAACTGATATTATAGAGTTCCTTTATAATTGATTCTTCTATATTAAAGAGATTATGTATATAGTTTTATGGGAGATCTTCTATAGTACTTTAGTTTCTGTACCCTGGTCTTTTCTAGTATAAGATAAATGTGTTAATGCTAGCAGGCCCAATGCTTGGAAGTTTGATGATATTTGACTTCTAAAGTTTAATTTTTTATTGATTAGATATTGCTATGTTAAGACCCTACTGTGATAGGCTAGAATTTCTATTGTTATTTGCCTTGTTGCTTCGAAATTACAGGTAACTTTATCATTATTTGACTGGTTTATATCACAATCTGGGCATTTCAAAAGTAAAGATTATTCTGCATCATGTATATTGTGTTTGTAGATTACTGATTTAATGTTTATTTTTCTTTATTTTCTATTGATAACCATTTAGTTGTTTATTTCTGTTCCAATTAAAAGTTCTCTTGTGATGTTGCTTGTTGTGTTTGGCTTGCATTGAAGAAAGCTATTATATGAGGAGTCAGTTGACTATGTTGCTAGGTTTAGCTATTAATCTAGTTTATTTTTTATCTTCAAAAACTATGCAGGGATTAGCCCTTGTATTGCTGTCCTGTTGATTCTGATGAGTTGATTCCAATATAAAGTTTTTTGTCTATCTTTATTGAAAAATTGTCCTGTAAGAAGTAGGTTATTTTTTTAACTTACTTCAATGTTTTTGATAAAAGCTCTTGCATATAATTTCTTGAATGTTTTACATTCTTTTTTATTAATGATTGGCCTTTATTCTTTATTTGCTTGAGATTGAATCCATGTGTTCTTAGTAGATAAATTATATCATATATAAGGTTTGTACTATGTTCCAAGAATATATGTTTCATGCTAGTGATGATTGGTTCTATAGACCAGTATATGTTCTGTAGTGATTGGAATCTATGTCTAGCTATACTGTCTATAATATTATTAAGGTCAATTCTTGTTGTCCAGTTATTTAGATATAATATTACTTGTCTATCCCACAAGTACATTAAGTTGTATTTCCTGATTATTATATAGCATACTGTTTGGGATTATGTTTGCAAGGCCTAGTTTGTATTTATATATTGTGACTAGCTTGTTCATAAAGTAGTTGCTGGTTTCTTTGGATAGGACTATATCATTGCATAAGTACTCTATACTTGATATGAGAACTGGTTTGTAGCTCTCTACTCTGAGTTCATTCATTTTGACCCCTTTCTCATAATCTATATCCCTTTTATTTATGATTAACAGTTGTGATTTTAATGGGTTCACTTGAATGTTATTGATGGGGTAGAATTGTTGTACTATATTTATTACTCATTATAGGTCTTTCTGATTGCTAGTAATCTATGTTATGTCATCTATGTAGACACTAGTGACAATATTAGTGGTTCTACAGTCATACCCCCTTTTTAAGTCTTCATAATATTTTGAACTTATTCATATCCCTTGTGTATTTTCAAGATCATGATCAATAGAAGATTATAAAAGAGCATCACAAAAGTGATGATATTGTATCTCCTTGATCGATTTCATCTTGTACACTGTATTTTTCTATTAGGCTATAGTATATGATTATAGAGTTTTGTTTATATATAGAATATTGATTAAAAATTGAATTATTTGATCTAGAATTTTTATTTTTTGAGGGCCAGAGTCAGCATCTTGATGTTAACTGAGTCATATGCCTTGGATATATCCTAGCTGAGAATCTATATCTGCTATTTATTCTCTTTGGCATATTCTATTATATTACTAATTATGTGTATTAGATCTTGTATACTGTTTTATAAAAGTACAGCCCAGTTGTGTTCAAATGAATTTCTTTTCCTTGATATATTTTGCTAGCTTACCAGTTAGGATCTTTGTAAAAATTTCTCTTTCTGTATCAAGTAAGGTGATTGGTCTTGTGATATCATGGTTGTTTTTCCATTTCTTTGGTTTTGGAATTGGATAGATAATTCCTTTGCTCCACTCTGTTTGAGTATCACCTTGTTGGATTATTTGATTAAAAATTCCTTAGACTTCTTCTTTAGCTTTTTCTCCCAGATATTTGTAGATGATGTAGGGAATTTGGTTGAGCCCATACACAAATTTGTTGCTTTCTCTTTGATTACAATGTCGAGTTCTTCTTTTGAAATTTCTTTGTTTGTGGCTTCATACTAATATGATTGAATATGACCTTTGAGTTCATACTCCTTTTTCTATAAAAGATAATTATTTAGTGGTCTTATATTTCTTAGGAATGTTCATTCCTAGAAATGAAGTCTTATGTATTTTTTGATTTCTGTTGGATCTGTAATAATTTTGATCTTCTCTCCATATAGGATGATTTTATCCAAATGTATAGTTTTTTGTGATTTTTTATGATACTGTTGATCATGACCTTTTTATTGATTTCCAAAAAGACTTGTCATTTGATTATTCTTTGTTTAATGATCTTGATCTGTCTATAGTTCATAATAGTTTATAATATATTTGACCATGAGTTTATGTGTCTGTATATTTCTTTGCAGGGTTGAGATCCATTCCTGGATATATTTTTCAAGTTTTTCAATCCTTATTATAGTGAGTATATTATATATGTCAGGAATCTGACCTTTATATTATTAGATATCAGAGTTTTTTCAACTGGATTAATCTTTTCTGTACTTGTTGATTGATTTCTCAGGTTTTTAAGAAGTTTTGTAAGGAGATGACATGTGAAGAAGGCCTTACCTATTCTGGGTAGATCCTTTAGCTACAGTGGTTCTTGATTTTACAAATATTCTTTTTGGTGGCTTTTAACATATTATTTCTAAAGAAATTTTATCTTTTGTTGATTAAGGTGTTAGGCTAGACAGTTTTTGAGATTAGCTCTTTCATCATGTTTGTGAAGGCTATTTTTTTTTCTGTATTAGTGTGTTATCAATTAAATCTGTGATTATACTTGTGCACTGTGGCCTTTTTCCCTGAGCTTAAATACAGATTTCACATTTCTAGTTCTATTCACATGCTTTGATAGTTACTTTTGATTAAGGATTGTATATATCTCATATGTATGTATTTCTTGATTGCCATTTGTCTGAAGGACTGAGCCATATTTGATCTATTCTGCTTTTATTGTCTTGTTCCTTTCATGTGAACTCCTTTTTAATGAAGTTGTAGATACAGTAGCTGTCTCAAAGTTTATGTTTATTAACAATTCTATATAAAGTCCAGTTAGTTTGTTGGGACATAAGATTTTGTGATGATTATGTCTGTCCAGAGCTAGATTGGGGGTTCTGTTCATGTCTCTAAGGACTATTATATGCCAGTCCTTATTGCTGACCTCCTTTATCTATTGTTGCAGAGTTCTTGTTACTAACATATGTTATTTGGTTATTGCTGCTACAGGGAAGTATACTCCTATTATTTGTATTTTTTGTTTATTTGAAAAGACCATGTCTACTGCTATTAACCTTCCATTTAGTTTTTTGTATTTAAAGATTCTTCTTATAATTTAATTATGGATTATTATATTAAGACCTTGTTTCACTATTTGAGATTCATGATGGCTTCAAATTATATAGTAATTTGGGCATTTCCAATGTCTTGATACCTGATCTTTTCTATTGACCTCTGTTATTACTACTATATCCCAACCTTGACTATTGATAAGATCAAACTAGGTTTGTCTTTTAAAACTGTTTGCGAGCCCTCTAATATTTTATATTGTGATTCTCTATAGGTTTTAGATGTGTTGTTTAGTGTTATATTATATGTTGTATTCTATTCATATTGGAATTGTGTCTAGATAATATGTTGTTTCATTGAAATTCATATTGTTTGAATTTATAGTTAAAGTGTTGATAGTTATAGAGTGATTAATATTATCTTTTATTGTTATATTTGTAGTTTGAGTTATTGATTTAAAGTATATGAGTTTGTTTGATTACTGGTCTAATTTATTATATTGTCTTTTTCTGGTCTATTGATACTATTTGAATAACCCGTTATTGTTTGTATGTTGGAAATTTTTTATTGTCCAGAATAAGGATAGTGATTATAAAAAGAATATTGCTTATGTTTTGATCCATTTTGTTGATTGAGTTATATAGTTCTTGTTATATTTATTGAATGTCAAATATTGATCTATTGGAGAAGGCTGAGTTTGTCATATTGTAATTATCAGTTTTCATTGCTTGTTATGTATTTTCTTCTATTGTGTCATTATTGTTTTCTTCATATTATTTGAGATATATTATTCTCTTATTCAGTTTCTTGATTGATTATTTAATTTCTTTGATGTCTTCTTGCATTTGTTGTAACATGTTGAGAATTTTGTCTAATATATCTTATTCCTAATCAATTTGTTAATTAGTTTTGATTCTAGGATTAGTTGCCACTACTGCTATTATATAGAATCCTGGCCTGGGTCTCCATATTTGTATTTCTCTACTTACTATATTTCTGATTCATTGTATACTAGCAGGTTTGAACTTTTGGTAGAGTTTCCAAATTTTGATGCTTGATCTTTGTTTTTAGATTACCATTATTCTCTTTTTTTCTTGATAGGGCAATTTGCCAAGATTATTGCTTTGGTTACAAATGGAGCAAAGCTTGGTTTCCATCAGCTTGACTGTAATAGTGATCTTTTTCATAATAAATTCTTGTCCTAGACTTTCTTTGAGTTTGTTTTTAGATTCGAAAGATATGCTGGAAACCATTATCTGATATATTTGATTCTGTGGGAAATGTAATATAACTTTACTTAAAGTTGTTAACAGACATTCTTTAGATTAAAGATATTATTGTTTGGTAAAAGATCAGTGAGGTTTGCATATTGGTATCTCTTATTATTTATTATCTATTCCATTGTACATCCATTATTCTTGTTGTTCTCCCTTGATTAGTATATTATATTATTGGATGAGTTGTTTCTTGTCTTCCTTATCTGAAATATAATTGTTGCCATTTGATACATTTGACTTGTGTATATTGATATATTTATAATTTGTCTATATCTAGTGAATGTTTATTGTACTTCTACGATTTTGTGATCAGAGGAATGTCCCTTACCCTGATACTGTTTTTCTTTTTTAACTCAGTCAGTGTGATTGTCATGCATGTCAATCTTTTCTGATCTGTGATTGATAATATTAGATTGCACACCTACTCTGCTACTTATTTCTCCTCAAATAAGGCAGGGATGTGATCGATATCCTCTTTTTTTTTCTTGCAAATGTTGAAGAAATTTTTAAGACTTTTTAGAGCTTTGGTTATATATATGATTTTTTGAGCAGTGATAGTGCTGGGAATGTTACTTGCCACAATTTCTGCCTTGAATCTTTCCTTGCTATATCTTATTGTCCTGTTAAATCATAATCTTAATCTTGGATAACCTTTTCTTTGGTTACTTTGGACTTGCCATATTTCTTCAATATCTTACTTGTTTGAATCTTTATCCAGTTCTTTCTTTCCTTTGACATCCATTTCTACATCATAGTTATTGATTCTTGCTGGTATGTGAATATGTTGTTAAATGTCTGATATCTCCTCTCTAGTTATTTTCTTAGAATGTAATCTATTTTCAATAGTGATTGATTCTTCTACTTGATTACTCCATATATATGATGTGAGCTATTTGCATCAATTATACTGAAGTTTTGAAAGTTTTATTGGTTAACTATGTATTGTTTAATTGTTTGTTTATTTGTGAAGAGATTTTGAATTGTTTTTGTTGATTTTTCAAGTTCTTTACCCTTTTTTAGAATAGTTATTATTTGATGTTCATGTTGATTTCTTTGGAACTATAAAAGGTTCTATGAGAACTTATCTCTTTGATACACTTTTTTGCTTCTTAGAAAAAATTGCCTAAAAAGAAAATTTTTAAGAATTTTAGGATCTGCAAGAAATAAATTTTTTTTGACTTGTGAATTATTGTTAATATATGTATAATGCTATAATTTGACTGTGTTGTTAGTGATATCTTTTCTTTTGCAGATGATATTTTCATTTGTTTATATTGTGGTGGATCATTTTATCTTCTGATTTGCTATTTCTATAGCTAGTTATAGATTTGTTTCATGTTATTATTGTTTGTATATCTGTTTTATATTAACTTAATTATTACTTGATTTTGTTGTAATTCCCAGAACCATGTTGATTTCTTCCTGTTGAGTTTTTTTTTGAGAGATGTGATCTCTACCCAAGCAATCAAACATGATTCTGTGTAGTTGGTGATTTTTTGATAAAGAAGATTTGATTATTTGCTAATTGTTTTTAATATTTATTGTACTAATCTGAATCTGTTACTTCTTCTATTGTTGTGTCTATTTTTTCTATTACCTAGAGATTAAGTTGGTGCCTATAAAGATTGGGGTATGTAAAAATTATGACCCTGTGGTAGAAATATGTTTGTAAAGTGGATGCTTGTGATGGTTCTGATGGACCACTATCTGGTTTGAAGTTTTTGTAGATGCATGATTATAATCTTTTCTATTATGTCCTGTCTATTGATTCTTTTGTACCAGCTATTTGTGTATAGTAAGAGTTGCCTATTCGAGAGATAGAAGAATCCATATTCCATTGGGTTGAAGAGTATGTAGTTTGGTGTAGATTGGGCTAAATAGAGTTTGTGTTTATAGATTGTATTGAAGATGCTCATTATCTTATTACAGTTGGGCTTGTGAGAATCATATCTGAAAGCAAGTATATGATTATTGGTATTCAGACTTAATTGTGAAGGTATTTTATTTGTTTGTCAGTTGTTGTTTTCCAATTAATTGCAATAGCATATTTGATTGTCTTATCTTTAATTAGTTGTTATTGATAAGCCTTGGTTTTACTACCTTTTAGATAGATACTCAGAACTCTTGCTGTATAATTTGGTTTGTGCATATGTCTGGATTGATTTTGAATTTGAACTGTATTATTTAAGTTTAAGTTGGCATTGAGTACTATGAGATTTGATTGTGTGGTATTGATATTAATGTAGCAAATGTTATATATCTCTTGAAGATTGATGCTGTTTTCTGTAAACAGGATTGTGTTATCCATGAAAGTTATACATAAGATATTCTGTATTTTTATGATAAGTGGTATTGTGGGATCTAGCTATTTTTTTGCTTTTAGTATATATTCTCTGATTTGATCAGAGATATGTATAATAAGTGGGTCATAGAAAATTTTCTATAAAATGGGTGATATCATGTCTTCTTGATTAATACTATCTTCTTCTATATATTGAAATGAAGGTTCATAGGGTAAGAGTACATGATTTTATTGGTTGTCACAAATATTTGCAATTATTTGAATAGTTTTGTTTGGGCATTTGATTCTTTTGAGGATTTCATTGAGCCTAGAAATGTTTATGGAATCTAATACTTTAGCCATGTCCAGACTTAGAATTCAAGCTTGTTTATGGATTTGTCTTGTATCATCTTAAATTATTGTGAGGAAATATATTGATTCTTGTGTGCTAGATCTTAGAAGCGCTGCCCAGTTGTATATGAAGATAATTTAGTATAATTGAAGTGTTTTGGTTAGTCTATGGATTAGAATTTTTGTGAAATCTTTCTGATTGTTTCAGCAATATAATTGATCTTGTGATGTTAATATTATTTTTCCAGCATTTTGGCTTAGAAATTGGATATATGCTATCTCTTTTTTTTCCTTGAAACTCTTTCTTGTTTGAGAATGTCATTGAAGAAGTCTGTAATGAAGGCTAGTATTTTGCTTGAGAGTTTTTTAAGTGCTATGTATGGGATGCCTGTGAATTAGATACTGATTTTGAAAAGCAGTATTTGATAGTGTCTTGTATTTCTTCTATTGTTATGAGTACTGTTGTGCTAATATACTATTCTTTCTTTATATATTTGGATAATATATATATCTTTTCTTATTTTGTATCTTTGGTTTTGATAATATTACACTTGCTTGACCATTTTTTAAAGTGTGCACTGACCAGTATTTTGATCTCTTCTGGATCAGTTGTGATTCTCTCTTCCAGATAATTTGAGATGATTTTGTCAAGTGTTATATATTTTTTGGAATTATTCAAGAGATTTCTGATTATTTGTTTTTGTTGGTGTTGAAATATGTTTATTTTCTGAGAATCTTTTATTGATAGTATTAATTTGCTGATTTTTATAGTTTTTATTAAAGATTTGTTTATAAGTGGCTCTCATTGTTTTGAGATCTTGGATTTATTGAAGAATATTTGTTGAGTTGAGAGATCTTGTGATTGGGTTGATTATAATATTGTGTCAGGTATGAATCTTCTTGATAATAATATCTTTTTTTATTTTGATGGCATTTGTGAAAAGGTTATTATATTGTATATTAGTTGTTTATTCAAGGAGTAGAGTTTGAAAAGTTTTTATAGTCTATATATTGATTGTTTGGGAGGTTTTGGAGTGCATTTTGATTTTTTATATCTTTTTATGTGAAGCGTCATATTTTGAAGGATTGAGTCCCTTAGTAAGTTCCATTTTTTTTTATAGTATTTTCTGTTGAATTTGGGGTTGATATGGATAATTTTAGTCTTGAATATATACATTCATTAAAGTCTTTTTATTTACCTAATGATATATCTTCCCATATGAATCTGTTGTTGAGTTACACTTTATTTCTATTGGTTTGAGAAGATCACTTTATGTCTGTCTCCATAAGTTTTTTGTCAAGTTTTTGAATACTTATATTGGTTAGAAACTACAGTGGTGATATTGAGATCCAGATTTGATCAATTCTACTGATAGTTTCCTCTGAATTTTTTAAAGTGTGTTAGAACTATGGGTGTGAGTTTCTAAAGGTGTCTATGAAATAAATATTTGCAAGCCATTAGACTAGTTTACTAGTTTGTGAGTATTGATTTCTTTTGGAGGTTTTGAAATTTATCATGTTGATACTAGGGTTAGATACAAAGTTGAGGTTTCCTAGAATTATAATATGGCTGTTTACAATTTTTGTATCATTGACAAGTTTGAAAGTTTCTTGGATTAACTGTTGATTGTCTTTATATGTGTAAAAGACTTTATTTTCAGAAAGTCAGTGAACAATTGTTATTTGGCCAACAAGACAACAAAGTTGTTTTATTTCAGG